AGTTCAGTCCGCTCACCCCCCGCACGATAATATATCCATCCATTTGTTGCTCTTGCTTCCTCCATTATGAGCTATCACACACCAATAAACTCTTCCAGTCATCCTCAAGTAGATTACCAACGAAGCCCAGAGAAAAGCGCGAAAGGACGAAGGAGATAAAGTGCAATCACAATACCGGTACGTTCCAAGAACGACAGACCGGGAGATCTGTAAGTTGGCTAACAACCTCGGAAAGCAAAAACAAAAACTCGAAGAAACACACCATCCTGACAAATCATGATCCTCTGCGATCCCCCAACAAACTAAAGCTATCTGGATGTCTCAAGCCAACCACCATAGCTCATCGCATAGGATGCGAAAGAAACAAATGCGTCCCCGCACCTGATGCCCCATGGCAACGGGTATCAACACAACCAAAACCCAAACCCTAAACCAACATATCAACACGTGCATAAAGGCAACCAACGTCTGCTCTACTCGAGTAACTTATGACACAGCCGCATAACTTATCTCCTAACCGCATGCCCGATAGGCAATCCGATAAATAGTCTATATGGCCTACGGGTAAGTTACGTATCATACCGGTACACCATGACCAATTGCGTGGCCAACATCTGTGACGCTGCGAAAGGGTCCCTGTCCCATATCTATGCTTCTCCGTGCCATAGTAATCACCAACGAGGAAAATTTCCCTCAACACCTTACGGGAGCAACCTCCCCCGGCATGATACTCAACCAAAGCTAAAGTTTTTCAACCACTAAGGGTAGGGGAATGGACCCCTTCGAGCACTTATTAGGGTACCCCCCGGATCCATCCGATCTCTCTTCCCTCATCAACAAGAATACGAAACAAGAGATCTTTGTGCATCATTCCCCCCCCCTTCCCTCTAACAGAGCAAACACTAACCCCATGCAGATTTGCGTTGCCAATTCGCCCCATGACGCTAATGCGCAGAGGGTCTCCAATAATGCACTGGTCCCCCTCGTGCCACCGACCGACATACCGCCCACGTGGATCCGATAGGTAAATGCCCTCGCTCTAACTTTCCCTCAAAAGGACGCGAAAGACGGATCTATTGGAAACCCTTTTCAACGGGGACACACGGAGACCGGCGGGCTGAGGGTAGGAACGTTCGGCAGGCGAAAAATGTTGAATTATTCAAAATGGGCTAACACGAAAACCTGTAACTGGCACCCATTCATCACCCGGATGCTTCTCGATGCACCCCCTCGAAGACATAGGTACCGGTAGGACCAGCGGGGACAAAGCCCCAAATGTCTGTCCATATATTCCGTCAACAAGTGATGCTAGTACAATTGATTGGGATACCAAATAACCCATCGAGGGGCTAGTGGTCTGTGGTCTGTAGGTCGCTGCCATGATTTACCAGCCTCTAATCCCCAAACCGCCAATACCAATGACGAAAGCCCCGTGTTAGAGGTATTATATACCGTCCAATTCTAACTTTCCACACCCGAAAATCAAGTCCCCTTTAATTGACTTAAAGCCAATTCAATTTCCCAATTGTATTCAATTCTTCATAAAACAAATCAAAAAAAAAATCTCGAATAGCTAGACAGGCAATCGTGGTCAAAGGTGAAGATCTAAATACAAACTCGAGGAAGGGGGCAATTGGAACACTCAAAGTTCAAGACTGTCGGATTGCCTACAGGCATGCACCGAGGAGATATGTGGTTATAGGGCTTAATGCTTGAGGTGTCCCGTGATTAGGCTTACGGTTGCGGTTTGTATTATAGCATTCGCATTCTATGCCTACCGGCATAGAGTGTGGGTTTTTGATTCGGCTGATACCCCTTGCCATCTAGCAGCAGGTTTCAGGTATTCCGTTCAGCTTGTCTGCACTATACGCAGGTTGGGACAGGCTATCCGGTTTACCCTTATTCCCGTCGACATTGGGAACGGAGCACTGGTTTTCACGGTTTGAATTGTTCAGGATAGCTTAGGGTCATGGAATCCCATGGGGGGTCATGGTTTTTCCCGGAGAGGGTGTTTCTCCAGAGTTCTTGAGTTTTATTTTGTTTCTAGAAGTGTTAGCTATACAGAGACACGTATCCCCTAGTCTGTCCTTAGCCAGCATCTCCATCGATCGTCTAGTCCACCACCCCTCCAGCCCTAGCTGCTCTTAGAATCTATTGTGATTGCAATTCCACCGCTCCATACTTCAGTGATCTATCTATGATCCCTCAAACACCACACAGACAGAATTTATTGTCCCGGTGCGACAGTGGGGGCAATACCTGTGCATGAGGGAGCTTCAGCGATGCCCCTACCTCCTCCTCCTCCTCCTCCTCCGATATCCCGTTAGCAGTTCCTCCGTGATATATAGCAGATGCCCCGATTCAGGTAAAACCACAAACGCCCAGAGACTACCATGTTGGTCGAATCCGCTGAAAGCATCTGCTCCACAGGCACCTGGCAGCATAGACTCCAATGACACCCCTCCTCCCCATGATTGCCCATCACACGGACCGCATTGAATAGTCGAGGGCTCTGCCGGGCCCGCCCGGAAAAAGGCGAGACGGTCACTTGGCAAAGAAAGCGTTGTCGGAAAGGCATTTCCAGGCAAGGGCATTACCGGACCGGAGGGACCGTTCCGAAAAAAAAGCTTGAAGAGAAGAAATATTGAGCATGATTGAGCAAGATTGAAGTAATTGGGCGTTTTGCTCCTAAATTGTACAAACACGAAATGGTAATGCATATACCAGTACTCTCAATTGCATTTCCTCCCCTCCACCCGGAATAGCACGGTTCCGGCAATCGGCCAGGGCGGAGCTCTTAATTGAAGTCCTAAACGTAACGGATTCAATATCTCTTGATCACAGTCAGACTGTTGATTGAATAGCTTGAGTTTCACCCTCCATCAATCGATGCCGGAGTCCCATTCAGCTATCATACGGGGGGACACTCTAGGATTCGCGAAACGGCAAAACATCATTCGAGGGAGAGCGAACACAAAGCTTCACTTCTCTCATTTTTTCCTCCCTCAACTTACCCTGGCACTACGCACCTTTCCTGGACCATGGAGCCAGTCAGCTTACTCGGTATCACACTCCCCCCAGGTGATCACCCCAACAAACCACGATAACAGTAACGGTGGGCTGCCTTCGCCTCGTTAACTGTGCTCTCCCCCCATCAAACACTAAACGCCCTCTAGTACTAAATTTCAGCCCTACCCGGATCCCAGTCGTTAATTAGTCGCTCACCCTGTGATCGCAACCGCCTCGAAAGAGAGCTAAAGACAGTCGTATGCACATGTCAGAAGCGTGAGAATGGTAGATGGTGTATTATGAGGACAGCCACCCTCCTCAAAACAGAGTCGGCCATACCAGCCAACCTGCTCGGCTTCTGGAAAATCCTAGATACTTTTACCATCAAACGAAAACCGTACTTAAAACAATACGAATCGCGATACTCACAAGACCCTTGGCGTCATGAGGTATCAATCGATAATTCTTGATTTGAGTTATGATATGTTCCCTTGGCGACAGCAAGGTGACCACTCCACCTTCTAGGGGGATTTTACCACTGCCCCACTAGGTGACAAAAAGGTAGCAGGCGCCCACAAGTTACACACACAGCCCACCAATTTTTGTTTATTCGTAAATTATATTCGCTTCTTATTCGGCTGAGGCAACCGAGCACAAACGCCCGGAGGCTCCACTCACACCGCGCGGTCGATGTCTTAGACATTAAGCGGATGAGAAACATGGCGGTATATATGTCGAGGAAGGCGGCATACGTCCTCGACTCATCGGCTCCGCAATCCCGACCGCGATACGGATCTCGATACGGGTAGTGACACCAAATCAGAAAGCCTTCACGGCTGCGATTCCAACAAATAAGCAGATCACTGCGTAGGGCTGAGGTCCCGTGTACTCGTGGAGCACCACATCTTCAGCCGCGAGATGCATTACGTTTCCGGCCGGATAACACCAAAACGATTGCCCCAGGGCGGACGAGAAGAAGTCTTGAGCAGTTAAGTTCAACCTCCCTCAGATATAGGATTCCAGGCTTAAGTGAGGTGCTCACAACTGTTGGATATCAGTGGAAGACGATAACCTGAACCCGCGCAGGGCCCGAGAGCCGGCGGTGCTTAATGAAAACGAGTTTAATACAAAAAACCCTTTCTCAAATATCATTCGCCCATCGCGTACGATACTATCCATACTTGGTTGGAATTCCCCGGAAAGGGCCTCCGAGAGCAAGACACAAGCTAGGCATTACTCGTACAAGCCCTCGCAGAAACGGTCCCAATCCACCAGACGTCAAGCTTCAGCGGGGTTTTGCCAGTACTCGTAGGTTGGGTGTAACGAAACACAAAGCAGTCACGAGAGCGCACATCCCCCCAACTGGCTACTCCGAAGGTAATAATGGCAGTCCCGGGTAAGAAGTTGCAGGGTACAGGGATTAGAAAACATGGCCCACTATCGCACGTCTCTGGGCATGCAAGCGAACCCAACCCTGAATGTTCCGCTATTTTTACCCCTCGCCTGGGACGAGCAGACGGAAGAGCTCCGGATCTCGTCAACGAGAAATACCCACCTGGATAACCCCGCGGAACCACTCCCCGTTTTTCGAGTGCCAGTACCGGTAGTCTCACTACTCGAGCAGTTTACCGGTATATATATCAGGATTGCTCCCTTCGGCATCCGCCGGCGCTACCAGGTATGCAAGGCAATCCAAACTCCTGATATGGAAAGATCAAAATAAAGAAAAGTACGAGTACTGTGCAAGGATCAGGAGAACACGAGGCGAATAGGATGTGCAATATCAGCCCGGCTGAAGATAGGAAGAGGAAGAGCCAAGGAAATGGCTTTTAGAGTGATTTATATCACCGTTGGGAATGGACAGCCTCCTCAAGGTTCCACGGCTCTCGCTTGGGTTTCGTGGCGAGGAGATCCGTGGTTGACTGCCGCCCCCCTCCCCAGCGGGTCCTTCCGTCGCTTACCCCGCCGGTGCCAAGTCTTGTAACCTTACTACCCACAAGAACTCGTACTCGCGCTGCGCCTGCCGTACCGGTCCCGCTCTCACTGTCCCTGTACCCAGTATGCATATGTTCGTGCCGAACCAATACTTCATGCCCATGAACGCCCCCTTGGGCCAATTTAGTGACCGGCATGGACCTGGTAATAATTTGGAAATTGATAGTCGAGATCAATGACGTCACATACAGTTGATCAACAACTCGTCCAATACACGCCGTTGTCGTGTTAAAACAATAGCCAAGCGTTACCTTCGGAGACACAATAATTTTGCACCAACATAAACACCAAGTGCTGCCGGTAGTGTATGCCTTGCAAAAGAAGCTAGTTAGGCAGCGGGCAGAATAGGATATAACATCCACCCGCTAAAGTTCATGGATTAAGTCTCAAGCCTCAACAATATGACTGATCCCCCTGCGAATGAAACAACCACACCTGAAGAATACCATATCGCGCCGGCGATTAATCCTACAATAGGAGTAGCCACGGTGACACTGTTCAATGAGGTATCGCTGCGATGGGATGCTATACGCGGCCAAATTAAGAAACCGGTTTTATACGACACGGCGAAGAGGAACCTGAAAAAAATCCGATGGATTCCAGCCCTCCCGACTGGCTATATAAGCCCCCCCCGACGTTCCGGCTTTCCGGGCACAACCAGCGCTACGAGCACCCAAGCCCATACGCCGAGCGAGAATATAAAAGTTTAATCCCTCAAAACTGCAATCTCCTCCAAACCCAACGCACAATGGCTGAAAACATCATCCCAAACCAATACATCATCGTCTTTAAGCCAGAGGTCCCCCAGGACAGATGCCGGGAGCATTGCCAATGGGCAACTGAGCTTCATACCCAAAGGGTCAGCGCACGTTCAGCCGACAGCGAGGAGCCCGAGACTTCCGGGGTTATGCACCACTATAGCTTCCCGACCTGGAACGGCTATGCCGGGAGCTTTGACGAAGGTGCCAAGAATGAGATCGAAAGTAGAGAAGAGGTATGACCGGAAATCTCACAGTGCTCTTACCCCTACCCGCCTAACCTGGGACAATAGGTCGATTTCATTGAGCCAGACTACAAAGTCTACACCAAAGCCCTCGTCACACAAAATGATGTCCCGTCATGGGGCCTCGCCCGCATCTCCCACAACGATAAACTCACCCCCGACACCAGGACCAAGTACACCTACGACAGCTCCGCCGGTGAGGGAACAAGGGCGTATGTCATTGACACCGGCATCCTAGTCGGCCACGAGGTTGGCATCTACCCAAACTATCGGGAGAGCGCTTCCACTAACATATGTAGGACTTTGGCGGACGCGCGACCTTTGGATACAACGCGGTCCCGGGCTCCTCAGACACCGATAGGAATGGCCATGGAACTCACGTTTCTGCCACAATCGGCGGGACCAGATTTGGTGTTGCAAAGAAGACCACGCTCGTAGGAGTTAAGGTCTTGGGGGACAACGGACAAGGAAGCAATTCCGGTGTTATCGCCGGGCTCCAGTGGGCTGCCGATCATGCCGAGGCTGATGGCGTTATCAACAAATCTGTATGCCCCTCGCCGCTTCCATCTTCCACGGATGTAATGCTAAGGGCTTAGGTCGCAAACATGTCGCTCGGAGGTGAAAAATCTCGAGCAATGAACAGCGCCGCTGCAGCCGTAGTCCGCATGGGCATGACGGTCTGTGTAGCTTCCGGAAACGATGGTGTATGAAGGATAAACCCCCACCCTGCCCCCCTCCATTTATCTCACCCACTGACATCTCTCAAACATTCAGGGCCCCGCCGACTTGGGTTCCCCGGCTTCAGAGCCCACTGTTATCACCGTCGGAGCAATCGACGACCAGGACGCCGAGGCCGACTTCTCAAATTACGGCAAACGTATGTTCCCCACCCCTACAAATACCCGCCATTCTGCTAACAAACCACAGTAGTCGACATCCTCGCGCCCGGGAGGAACATCACAAGTGCCTGGATTGACGCTGCCGGTGGCACAAGCTTGAACAGAACCCGCACGATCAGCGGCACTTCCATGGGTAAGCCCCCCCCCCCCCCCTCCCACTCACCTCCCACGACTTACAGACTCTAACAAGCGCACAGCAACTCCCCACGTCACTGGTCTGGCGGCCTATCTTATCGCCAAAGAAGACCTCAGTGGGTCCACCGCCGTGACTAACAGGATAAAAGCCCTCGCGGCCAAGAACTCCCACCAGGTCACCGACCACAAAGCTGGCAGCCCGAATCTCATCGCTTATAACGGGGCTGCAAGCAGCAAGTAATTAGCCTTGCTTCTATCCCTCATCCTCCACCCTCTTTTGGTGATTGATGCTCATGGGTTTTTCGGCGGGGGGAGGTGATGAAGGAGTAGGTTTTGGATTTTTTCGCTCTGCGGATTTTGAGCATGGGGGGTCACTCGGACCGACTGATGAGCCAGCAGATGGATGGGAATCTTATAGGTCGTAGGAATATCGTTAAATTAAAGATTCTTAAAAAGAGAACCCTATGATATGGCCACGAGGTTCACTTATTTTCCTTTACCGTGAATCTGTGCTCAGGGATCTCCTCCAGGATGGTGAAATTTTGCCTACAAATCACACGCGCAAAGTTCAAAAATTGCTCACCCAAATACCCTCTCCCTCTATCTCTCGCACTGGCATTATAACATCCAGGCGATTCAGAGTGCAAGCAGGCCTCGGAACACCAAAACAGGAACAATCCCACCACCCATATATAAATCCCAGCCACTAGGTAGAAAAAGGAAGAAGAAAAACGCACAAATTCACCCTCCAGAAGTAGCCACGTGAAGTGAACAATAATAGCAGATCACCAATGGATAAACCACCGCACACCGAGCCCGAAGTAATCCAACATAACAATGGAACGAAGTGATAGAATCACCGGACACAAATCACACGCTTTCGAGAATCACACAAAAACTCCCCTATATTGAGAGAAGAAAAAAAATGTTGAAAACCTACGCTTATCATCCCCCGTTATTGCGGGGCTCAGACGTCAACAGGATACTGGGTAATCCTGCGCGGAATGTTATTCTCCCAAGGCAATTGGTAAAATATTGTTTTGGACCAGTTTTTTTGGCATATCACTTTTACGTCATAAGAGTGGTTTTTATGGCACAAATTTCTCCATATTACAATATGGAACTTTTATATTTGGGGGGTTTTCGGCATAGATGAGAAAATACATAAATTCTATGGTGCACAAGTAAAAGTATTTCCTAGTATAAGCAGTGAGAATCCAGGTTTCAGGAAAAAAGGTTATGTATGGAACCGGTAGCCTTTTTTCTTCTTCTTTATATATGATGCAAATTTCATATTTCTCAATAGAGAACACTCTTATTTTCAAAAACACAATCCTATTCCCCCAAAACATAATCCTATGTTGTTTGCAGCTCTTACGATCATAAAAAATATGGCGGACATGCCCAACAGGTCCTTGGAGAAGCTGGCTACCCACGAAACGATCAAGCGAGGCGAAAACAGCAAGACACTAACGGACCGAATAAACGACGTCAGAACTACCGAACTTGTTGGAAGCAGGAAATGTAGGGCCTTGTTTCCTCCTCGAGCTCATCTTCAAAAAACGGTAGACGACCATGAGCCCTACCACCAGGCGCTTTGAGATCTGTCTGGAAACATCCTTACAATTCTCGAATTCAAGCTTTCGGTACGCCGGGTCTCTAGGGCTTGGCTTTCGTTGTCTTCTGCGTAGGGATTAACAGCTCGCCCTTCTAAGAGGAGCAGCATAAATCAACCCCCCCTGCCGTAAACAGCAGGGTAGAGAAGTGGCGTTCGCCCTTCATTATCTGCTGCGGCGGGATTGACATCTTATCTTCCCAGGGGTAACCTCACGGCATTCTACTAGCCATAACCATCCGCAGTCCAAGAAGGTGGTATTTGACCTACATTCTCCGCTATCTTGGAATTGACATCTCTTCTCTCAATAAGTAACCTCATCGCATCCAACACCATCAGGAGAGAGTATCTGCCCCGCATTATCCACTACGCCGGGTCAGCCATCTTTGCCTTCCATAAGGAACCTCACCGTGTTCGCTCTATAGTAGCCAGAGGTGTAAGTAAACAGTGTTCGGCATTCGTTATCTGTTGGCTCCTTTTCTTTCCAAGAGTAAACTTAGAGTAGGCATACCGTATATAGCAGGGTGAGAGGGCATTAACCCTCATTATCTGCTGCATCGGGATCGCCATCTTCTCGCTCTACGAGCAACTTCACCGCATCCCCCCTACCTCAACCAGTAGTGCAGGAAAAAACACAAATTTCCGCCACCCCCCATTTATATCTCCATTGCGGAGAGCACCTCATCCACTCTCGGCAACTGCTCAGATTGCGTTATCCTCATCGAAATCCCCGTACCGAATGTTGGTTTAACCCCACTTCACTCTGCCATACGAGCTCCGGCCGTGGATGCATCTTGTTGACCCAAGCCTACCATTACACAATCAAGTGGTTTCCCTCTCTCATAAGCAGCCTCTCTGGCCAAACCCGTATCGACATTCAATAAAGCCAGGAAAAATCTAAACACCATTATCAACCAAAAGTAAATTCATTCATGCTTATTCACCGGCATACATATCTGAGACGAGTTCCAGTGTGGATAAAGAACCCGGGTAATTGTACCAGAGACTCCATTAGCATTTCAAGAATTCCGGAGGGAGAGAAGCCTCAGCCTCCAATAACTCTGTTTGCCAGTCCAGACACGTCAACAATACCCCCGGAGATCTAGCCCAAACCTTCCCATAGCCCGCCCGGGAAGTGCGACGAATGTCATGGTTTGTTTTCTGTAAGCTTTGAAATCGTATCAGAAATGTGCCACCGCAAGACATCCTCTTTTGCTCTGATTGCCTAAGGTGTCGATAACCAGAGAGCTAGCTTTACCCTACTTAGCCCTTCGCACCGCATTACGGCATTTCCCTTCCTACTAGAGAAATGTATTCCCCACTCCCCGGTCACCATATCCCTTACTCGAGTACCTTGTTTTCAAATCATCGTCTCGGTGGGTAGCCAAGACCACAAGAGAGACCGTAAAGGGTAGCATTGCTTGATACTGATTAGAGTATTCCCGAAACATGTAACTTTCTGGTCCAGATTGCAATCCAAATCACTAATCTATTATGGGAACAGGATGGAAAAAACCTGCGGTAAGCCTCTAAGGTTAGAGTGCTGAGCATACCTCAAATTATGTACTACTCATCACGATTGTGACAGAAACAACTAAAAGTAGGGCCGTAGTACTCGTAGTAGGTGTGGTCACGGTTATCCGAACAGACCAGTGTTATGGATTACAGACTTGACCCAAAAGGAATAGATCAACCAGGAACGGTTCACTGTCGCGGATGGTGGCCAAATCAGCGCTAATTGGTTAGTCCGCGTGCTAAAACAATGTGAAATTCGGGAAGAAAGGAAGGGACGGTTTCACTCAACGAACCCATTCGCTCCCAAAGTCCACCCCCCCACTCCATCCATCCGGTTGGTACAAACGTCTTGATTCCTCCCGGAGGCGCTAATGGAGATAGCCATTTTTCAAGAACTGACGTCTCCAACCGGGTACAGATACTCCTCGGCGACTCCACGGTGCCATAACATTAGAGCACATTGCAGTAGTTGATATTTCCAGAAGGTTACTATCGGTGTTAATGCGGGGGCGGAAACTTACTACCCAGGCTACTATTGCGGATGCTAAGACCGAGGGCAAGCCAAGAGTTAGAGAACTCGTTCGCGACTAGCGCTAAGGGCTCCACACTCTCTCGAGTTCTCGCAGAGACAGTCTAATAGCCTCGCCCGTGTCAAGGAAAATCGCAAGACACAATGGATGAAAGAGAATGGATTGCATAAGCTGACTGCCGCTGAACCATCACCCATCAACGGTTATGAGAAAGACGCAAATTTAGTTCTATGGGTCCAAGAGCTATTTAAAAAAAAAACTGCGGTAGATGTATAATACAAGAGGGAAAAAAGAAAAAAAACCAAAGGACCCCACACCCGAAGTAACACCCAGAATACAACTTTCCCTAATCCTTACAGTCTATATATCCAGAAAGCGCCAAGATCGAAATAGGCAATATAAATCGCAATGCATCATTCCAATACAAAACACAACAGTTGGCATTGAAATCCAGAATTCCCGAACCCACGCAACACAAGGATGGAACTGCATCTCCCCATTCTCGGCCCGTGAAGCCATGGCTCAGGGAAATTGAGAAATTATGGTCGGGGAACCCCACCTCGGTTGCGTGTTATCATACATACTTACCGTTCCCCCTCCCACACCCCCGAAACGGGTGATATTTTGTGATTGTCAAAACACTGAGCAGATATGATACGACGATATGATATTATAGTTACAGCGGATCTGCCAAAACTCACCGCCACGATATTCCTCACATGCGCGATGTTCGTCCGGGGGAGAAACTCGCTTGAATCGAGGTGTCCCCAAACAGTCTTGATAGTTTTACAACATGTATAATAGAAGGATGCGTATGTTGACAGCCTACGTGGACGACTTATTCACTGACGCACCTCTCAATATCACGCGCTGACTCACTTGAAACCCTTTCAAGTGGTAACCCTAATCGGTCCGATATAAATTCCTCTCCCTGATACATTTGGCTTTCCACGCCACAAAAACAAACGACAAGCCCTCCATCTCGGAGAGTCAATACACAAGCCTAAGCCCCGAGTGATCATCCGTGATACCCAACGGCAAAACACACACAGAGCCGTCTCTTCAGCTACCACCCCCCCCCCTCCTCACTCTCCTGGAGAAACATCCAACCGCCTATCTAGCATAATACCCACCCCTCTTCATTCCCCGCCAACTGCTTCTTCTTCCTCCTACCACCTCTTCCCGCACCGACAAGCGCAACACACAACACGCAACGAGAAAGAAAAGGAAAAAAAATGTCGTCCACTCCCTACCTATACCTCTACACCACCCCCCAAGACCCTCCAAATTGGCGCCTAGCCACAATAATCTACCAAGCAGTCGGGCAAACGTTCGAGTACCTGCTGGAGAGCGCAGAGGAAGCCGCGGCGATCACCATCTTGTCCATTCTCGCATTGAGCATCTGGAAGCGGGAGATACGCATCATCCCGGTCATCGGGATCGTGGGTGTTTGGTTCCACGAGTGGGTCCTCGTCTTCACCCTGTTTATTCAAGTGAGCTTTATAACACTCGCCATCGCCGGGTTCGTGAACTTTGTGCTTTGGAAGTTGTTCCTGAAGGGCCTTTGGGTGCAGGTCTGCCATGGCAGGCGGACTGCTAGCTCGTTCCTCCGTGAGGCGCCCGACCAGATTTTCGGAGCTCTGGCGGGCTGGTGTGGTTGGTGTGACATTGCGCTGGTGATGACTCGCCCGCTTGAGTGGGTGGAAAATGTCAGGCGCTGGATCACCTACTTTCGCGAGTTGCCGGGGATTTACTGGAAGGAAGTATCCGAGTCTAGGATTTTGGCTTGGGCGCACATTTTGATTTCCTACCTTGGTCCCAAGCATGAAGTACTGGAGGAGGATGGTAAAGGGGATCCAGATATCACAACTTGCACTGCCGAACCCGCCGCCGCCCCGAGCAGGCCAAGGGTTGTCCACTCAATTCACTGCACGGGCTCCACATCCACAGACTATGTAAACCCTCACACACCCTCTCCGCCAAACCAAGATCTACTCCTTCCAGAATCCTATCCCCTTCCCACCGCCGTAGCCCCAGATACTCCCACAGCCCAACAACTCCGCGAACAAGACCCCTTCAAGACCCCCATGCCGTCCAGAGCCGGAGACCCTGGGTTCCTGGATGCGTACCCCAGTCCTAAAGGCGGGTCCAAGTGGCAGCGGGGTGGGAAATCCCCCGCGGAAATGGAGAGGGAAAAATGGAAGCCTGCGAGAACACCCGGGTCCATGGCCTCGGGAGTTCCAAACAGGAATCTCAAGCCCAGTCCTGGGTCGGAACCGGGGTTTTTGGATGCGTATCCGAGCCCCCTACAGATACCGAGGAAGTGGCTTGAGAACAATTCCAACGGGGATTTTGAACCAGATGGGAATGTTAGGGGCGGCGCTGAGGTTGGGGGTAGCAGAAACTCTGGAGAAGGAGATGGTATGACCCCAGATCAACTGTAGGACACAATTGAACGGGGATCACTAATCTTCTGGTGCAGAACTCCATGAGAACCGTTCCAACCGACTAGCTATGACCTATGCAGACAGGGAGAGTGCTGCTGAGAGCAGCGCAGATGTTGGCAGGGACGGGGAGGGTTCGGAAACCACCAGCAGCGAGGAGGGCGGTCAAGAAACCATGCTCTACGCGCAGGATAAGTTTATCGAACTAGCAGTAAACGCTGGTGACGGCTCTGGCATTGAACTCCACTACCAGAGCTATATCGCGCAACTACAGATAGTTGATGCCAACGAGCGTAATACGATGGCAAGGCCTATAGCGCAAACGCCACCCCAGCCTCTCGCAGGAGCACAAGCTCACGCGATGGCCACCAGGGCCACCAGGCCAGCAGAAGAAGACCCTGAAGGCTGCGAATCCCGGCCATGCCTAAAGAGGGTCAGATACTAAGACCCGCCTCCGCTGGCTAACAATGGAGTTATCAAAAACTCCAGACAGTCCATGGAAAAAAATCGCTTGTTGAAACCACTACTTGAAACCATGCAAAGCTCTAGCTGATTAAAATTATTGTAGCCGACCTCGATGAAGTAGTTAGGCTCAATAAAATGTTTATAAAACCACATCCATGACTTTATGGCTTTCCCTCTTGACTTCCCCCTCCGCCTCCACCGACAGCGCTCGTATCCCCAGGTCTAATAGCCCTCATCAATTCGTAGAGCTGGCCAATCTGTTGATCTATCCACCATTGCCGCCATCAGTAACAAAAACCTAGCGGACCGAAAGAGCCCACAAACCATTCATCTTCTCCAACTTGCCCTCCTCGAGCTTCCCATCCCGCCACGTCTCACCCTCCACCGCCTGCGCGTACAACTGCCATTCCTTCAAGAAGCCGACCTAACATGCCCCCATTAGCCCGCTAAAGGAAAACAGACAAAGCGAATGAAGAAGGAAGCAAACAATAAATAAGGGATTCTCAACACGCCTGTGCCGCCTGAACTCCGCCTTGACATACTTGTCTCCGAGAACTCGTCTCTGTTCCCACACCCTCTCAATCAGCCATCCATCCTTCTCATACCGCACGCGTTACCACGGAATCACACCTCAGGCGATAGCTTGTTCCTATGAGCACGCAGAAGTCGGCGGTAAAGTGGGATCGGCGGGAGGAGCGCTAGTCTAGAAGGTCAGTCGAGGCAATTGGTTACGGTGACAAAGGGCACGCACCGAGAGGAGGCTTTTGTGCGAATGACCCGAAAATGGTTTCAGAAGCACGGCGAAGGAGTGTCCGACGCATTCCGTCGAGCGGGGAAGGGGGTGCAGTGTGGAAGTTTGTAAGAGTGGATGAGAATTCGTGCCGCGTGCGGCTCTTATCGGTTGCCGAGTACCATGGGATAATTTACCCGTATGGCGGGAGGTGGTATGATATTATACCAGCAACCCGTGTCGTGCTCAACTTGTTACCCGGCTTTAAGAAACTCTCTGACCAAACCCCTGCCCGGAGCCTCGCCTCTCCGTTTTTTTCCTTCTCCTTGCTCGCCTCCCCAATCACTCATTCATCCCCATCCCTAACGAACCGCAACCCGAGAAATAACAATTAAACAATTGACCCCATCCAATGCCACCGAAGCCATCGTCAGCCCTCCCATCACCCACTGCCCTCCTCCACGCCGGCTTGCAAGCCGCCTTCCTGATACTTTTCCTATCGACACGGAATCTGGGGTACGTGGTCCTCGGACTCGCATGCGCGGCGACGTGGGGCGCTGTGCAGTGGATGGACGAAATCGCCAGGGTCGAGGCGGAGGCGGAGAGGCTGCGGAGGGAGAGAATCAGGCGGGAGAGGGGCGGGTAAGGGCGTGAGGGAGGAGTGGGTGGCCGGCCCAGAATACAGGAGCTGATCAGGGTGGGGCGCGATATATTGTAGTCTACGGTACTGTACTTGTAATGTAATGGATCTCGGAGCCTGGAAATGTGGTGGGCACTTGAAACTCATGGGTGGGCATAATAATTTTTAGATTCATAGGGGCCTACAAGTACGATGGTATGCCTCTTTGTGGTACTGTTAGTACCCGTAGTATATATTGCAAGTGAATCAAGGTGTCATGAGGACCAACTCGAAAAATGGTTCCCGTAGTGCGGTGGACGGTAGCCTAATCCAGGCAGTCAGCCGTGTGCTCACCTAATCCCCCGCCAACCAACACACCGGCAATTAATTCTCACCATCGCACTCCAGATCACCGTAACACCTTAGGCCAGACAACCTCCACGGATAGCGGACTGGCAGTCAGTCAGACACTTGTTACCGGAAATAGCATAAACACAGTACGGTACTCGCACAAATAAGTGCACAATAATTAAATTAGCAGTCACCGTACCATATGATACCACCGTGACCGACCGTAACCCTCAAGCGAAGCAAGAGACCGCGGCAGGCCAGGCCGCAAGCGGGCAGGCAGGCAAAACTCGCTCCAAATTGTAGCACTCGTATGACACTGATCCGACCGGGCTAGTACTCAACCCGTCCAGGACCACCTTGGCGTCGTCCGGACGGGGCGGATGGTACTGTATTCGGTCCTAAGATAGGACCGTGGACAGAAATTCGCCAGTGCATGAGGTGAAACATACACTAATACTAAAACGCATGCCCACTCAGCCGCTTCAGCCACTACTCAGCCACATGAGGGTGAGGCTGAATAGCAGCAGATTATTATGTGGCCCGAGTGTATGATACGAGTCCGACGCCCATCCATCCCGGCTAGGACGGACTGGACTGGAAGCACTGCTCACCAACCATTACACCTATCATACAAAAACTTGAAAGTCTCAATGAACTGTTACTTGGATACACATACTCCACTCGTCAAATCCGCCAAGCGGAAGAAAGAAAGAAAAAAAAAACACCCTTTTGGCGAGTTATTCGGTTTATTGCTGTTGGTATGACAACCCGTGTACTTGTACGCTTCATGGGAACAGGAATTGCCTTCCCCACATCCATACTTGAACGACGGTAGCACGACACTCAACATTCGGAGTGCCGCAACCCGAAATTCGCTCCGTGCTAGGAGCAATATGGCAGACGTTGGTCCCCAGTCCCCGGCACATGGCGAATCGCCCTACGGTATCATACGGGTCCCGCCCGAAAACAAAACTGGGGGAAGAAAAATAAATAAATCCCGAGTGACATGAGGTGATTGCCCTGATGTGGTGCACCGCCCCATAACAACAGCCACAATGACAATTGTACGGATAAATTGTCGCTTACCACGGAATGACCGACCGATTCATGCTGCCATTTCTTGTGCCACGCACTGTACCAGCTGAGCTGAGAGGGTTTGAGTCTGAGTCCTTCCAGAGTCCATCTTGCTCATCTCTCGGATACCGGTACTTACGGTACCGGTATGACCGCGCTGGATTAGAGTTTGGATACTGTACTCGGGTCTAACCGTGGCTCCGTGCCAACGGATTTTTTTTCAGGGGCGGATGGGCCGGGGATAATGTTCTTCCGGACTGGGAGGGGATTGTCGGGACTGACTGTTCCTGAGCTGTTGACTTTTGGGTGTTGTCGAGGGCTTGTGGTGTGAATCACGCTGGCGCGGGGTTTGAGGCATAATTTTAGGCTATACACGAGAAGGATGGAAGCATTGGTCATTTATGCGGCACAGTTGTTCGTGGGTTTGCCACTGCAGTGCCCGTGCAGTACGGGTACTCGTGCAGTACGGCCATTGAAATTTCTACGGTTAATTTTTGTCGCTATGATACGTAAATTTATCATACTCAGCAGCGATACTCGCTACTGTTCTAATCCTGCCCACGAACGAACGGTCTCGAGTGCTCGGGTAACTTGATCTTGTACACCAACGCCTGCGAGTCCAAGTCATATCCGGACGCATCTTTAAAAGTATTTTTTCCGAAGTTGTAAGTCCCTGCACACATCAGTGAATTGGCCCCTTAAAATGGGGCGAGAGGAGCTCACCGTCCTGCGTGATAAAGTCATTATCGCTAATGGTGATGACAAACCACCAGTCATCGTCGCCGATCTTGCCGTCGACAGGTACGATCGCGAGACTCTCCCATTTCTCGTTGAGGAGTGCCGCATCTTGAGCACCGCCATTGTGGAGGCCGAATTTGGCTAGTTGAGCTGCATTGTTGATGTCCAGGAATGGGCAGTAGAGTGCTGGTTTGATGTCGGGTTTAAGGGTACCGCTATCAGGCGCTGTGGTTATAGACGAGCCGCGCGAATCGTAAGTGCGACCGTTTAGGGATGTCGCGTCGGAAATATCGAAAACATCGATTTGACGGTAGTTGGAGAGGGTGCCATCGGCGCCGTGGCCAAAGTCGCTGTCACGACTGAGGATGAGGAACTGGTCTGGCCCGACCGCGAGGATTTCGGACTGTCCTGCGGTGCGAGGGTTCGTCTTCTTTGTTGGCTGGATTGGAGGGAAGGTTGGTTAGACGTGGGCTCGTTGGGAACGTACGTGATTGATGAGGGTGGTGATGACATGGGGGATTTTGGAGGGGCACTCACATCGTTGAACTGGGGCAGCGGAACAACGTATTCCCGGGCCAAGCGGGCTTTCACTGGGGCAGTGATATCATATTTGACCATTCGGGCATATCTGTTTGTAAGTTTGCTAAGTCCGCCCTCCTGTACAGCCGCGGACTGGAGAAGCGCATATAGGTTCCTCCCATCACCTGAGACAGTGAGACCCTCAAATCCCTGATTGTTTGATCTTCCAGAGGTGGGATTAACTGGATCCGGAGATTGGGAGGGATCGTAGATTGGCGGATTATTGGAAGCAAAGCTGGAATCTATCAGCAGGTTGGACACTTTGGTACGGATCTGAGGAGTAAGGAGTAAATACTTCTCGGCCTCCTTGCGGATGGGAATGAATGCATCTGGGGGTTTGATAGCCTGCGTGAGCTTCCCGTTCCGATCGAAATGGTAGATGAAGGGGCCATATTCATCGCTGATCCAGAACCCACCATCGGGACTTAGGGTGTCAAGAACCAGTCCCTCAGGATCCAACGACACACGAACGCCACCGGGCCCTTCGCCGCCAAAGCCATCACCGGGGAATTTCGCAGCGGGCAGGTTCGGAAAATCATTGAACGGCAAAGATGTTGTAGGGTCCAGGCCGGAGATGGGATTACCCGCGGGATCACTAAAGAGGGTTGTGTCCAAGTAGGTGAACTTGAGGTTTGGTGGTGATGGAGCCTTTTCGAGATTGGTGTCTAGGGAGATTTTGAATTTGTGGATCCGTGGCTGATAAGCTATTGTCCCCTGGGTATTCCTGTATAAGGTGCTTTGTTAGAATATCTCGATATCAATAAATTCTCAAGGTAGAGCAAACAAACCATCCACGATCGGGCAGCACGAATAAAGTGCCCTCGTACTTTCCTTCGCTCAGCTTCTTCCATGAAGAGCGCTCAATGCCAATGCTGGAGCCAATGGATAGGGTATCATTATACTTATCCCTGAAATTGCTGGGCACGAAACCGTAGCCGCTCAATTCCTGAAAGGTATAGCTCTTTCCATTGCAAACGGTAGTCTTCACGGGAGAAGGCTTCACCGGAGAATCATTCGCTCTGCGTTGTAGGGCCGGAACACCAGCAAATGCAGCTAGGGGTAACAGCGCCAGGATAAGCGAGCGGAGGATGGCCATCTTGAACTGAACAGCACCCTTGAGTTTTGGATACCTGTATGCTACGGTAGTATGGTAGTCCGGCCCAGACACAATATCTGTGGGAGTTTCTACCCTTTTAAACTTCTATTGAGCTAGCTGGTTGAGGTACATCCTAGGGCGATATGAATCTGATATCCCCCATCTCCCCCCCTCGAGAACTAGGGGATCTCCCCCCTTTCCCGTCCTCAATTGTGATTATTTCCAGTAGATTTGGGGTGGATTTGGATCTGCCTATGTGGGCTTGGGGGTGGTACAAGTATGTCACTGGATACTGCCGGTGGGATAGGTACAGCAACACGAGCTCGACCCGGGAAGGTTGGTTGGATAGGGGAGGGTAGAGGATATCGTAGAAGGCAGGACTGAAAAATTTGGCGTTCTGATGGGGTTGTTTCTGTGATGGGAAATGATGAGAATAGAGTACAAGATAGGGAATATTTTACGGGTTGGCCTTGCTTACCGATGGTCATTGTGGGGACTTGTACGGGGCTGTAATCACCGTTGTTTGGCGGGGGAGGATACCAAAGTGTGGGGGCGGGCACGCGGGGAGGGTGAGGCCGCTCATTGGATTCAGAGGTTTTGAGTCTCGCTTACCGTTCAGTATATTTTTTTCCTGGGCGCTCGTGGTTCCTGGTGGGGGGGGGGTTTAAACCTTTGTTTCTAAACTAACAGTCTAAACATACTCTTCGGTAATGCCATTACCGTACTGTACTCGAGTACAAGGACCGTAGCCGGCTTCTCATCAGATCCAAACTTCTCATCCAACTCCCTCAACACCCCCTCATCTATTCCCGACCGCCCATCCCCATCCCTGACTGACGGACTCCCCCAAACCTCCCCCTTTCCCTGACCCTCTCCAAACCTTCCTCTGCTACTCCCCTCCACGGCCTTGTCCCTTCCCCAACTCCTCCAGCCTCTCCTCCAGCCTCTCCTCCATCCCCGCCACCACCGCAAGAATATCCACATATTTTTGATCATCCTTCTCTCACCTATCCACCAACTCACCCCTACCCCCCCGCACCCAAACCTTCCTCTTCGGAGGGGCTGCCACGAGTCACTTAACCCTCCCTCCAACCTAGTTTGTTTAGGTTATGGCATTGCAAGTGTCGCCTGTTGTGGCATTGCTTTGCCAAGAGATAAGCCCAGCGACATCACATCCATTGCAGCAGCCTTGGCCTTGTCTTTTTGGTCGGCGGGGGAGCGCTGGCACCGGTTTCTGGAATACGCCCGTGGGGCTCAGAAATACTGTGGCGTGACAAGTTTGTTGTTGCCATGCCACCCTGCCGTATCCGGGTTCTACCGATGTAGGAAGGTTGACGCTCCAAGGATCCGATCCAGATTCCTGGAGGAGCTCGTTGTTCCTCGAATTTGACGGGGGCTTGACCGTCTGCTGTTCTCGTGTCTCCCAACTTACCCGTGCACTTCTACGAGCACAATACTCGTAGGTTACCGCACCGTGAGAATGTACATCTTGACTCGCCCGATTAACGTTGTTTAGAGCCAAAGGCCCCCGCAAACGGCCTCCTTTGTGCTAGCAGTGCCCTCGTAGTAGCATCTCCTGTAGCCAGCCTTCGCTTCCCCTCACTGGGGTTCTCTCATCGCCTGTGCCTTTCAAGTGCGGTGGGTGTTGTATGTGCCGCCAAGAATAAACAGGTGAAATGTCGTGATCTGCTCGGCGCGCACGAAAAACAAATTGCCGGTGCATCGCTCCAGTAAACCTGGGTGTTGCCGGTGTCCTGGCCGGGCTGGACCTTTTTGTGACCCAGGCGTGTGATTCAAGGGTCGTGGGATGGCCAATGGTCAGCCTGCGAATTGTAAGTCTTGGCATGTTGTCAAGCATTCTTCGGGGACACAAAATCCATCTGCTGACTCCAATCATTCCATTTCCCCGATCAGATGTTTGTGACCCCCCAGCCGCCTCTCAACCGCTGATTCACAAGAATCGCAGAAAACTTGGAAGCTGCAGAGGGCGCTTTCCATGCAACCTGAGGCAGGTTGCAGGGTGAATGGATAGCGCTTGCACCAATCGGGCACTCGGTTGCTGGAGAGCGCCGGAGGGAAAGTTGCGAAAAAGATCGGAAAAAATTCGAATCTTTTCGCTTCAAAAAGGTTCACACTTTCGAGCGCATGTTTGAAGTGGAATAGGCCATCTGGTGAGAGTTCCGTTTATTTGATCCTTCGACTCATTGACTACAATTGTTTGTGTATTCGATCCTTCTGCCGTGGAGGGCGTAAGGGGGGCTGCGCTCCGTCGGAAATAGGTTGCTGGGAGGGTTTTTCAGGGGTGTCCCACACACACCACACCAATATCTTACGAGACACAACCCACCCACACCACCACAAATTATCACCAAAAAAACCAGCCCTTCACCTTCATTCCCCCCCATGGAAAGCCCAGTCTCCTAGCATACATGCCCTACCGTACTGGATAAGTAATTTGCCTCCCACACCGTGCGCTGTGCAGGCTCGAGTGCGGTAGAACGCATTTTGGTTGGGCCCACCCACCCCCCCGTTCGCTTTGATGGCAACAAAACTCTCTTCCACTTTTCCCTCTCCCTCTCTTCTCCTCTCCTCCCCTCTCCAGAGCCGTCACAATGTATCCCGAAACTGCCCCTGTGTAGGCTCTATGCTTCCAAAATCGAAACTATCATTACGACGTACCCCATCATCAAATCTGCATTCTTCTGTAAGTTTTTTTCTCGGTTTTTTTCCAGCTTCCACGATGCGGGCTCGTCCTTTCTTGACCGTTTGGCCCTCGAGAGGGCGTAACGATGACTTGGCCGAGCCGACGACTCTCCTGCTGCTCCCCCTTTGCCTCTCACGTCTTGCTCTCGATCAAGAAAATTAACAACACACGGGAAGGATCACCATACAGTATCTAGCTCATTCCACACGCCGCCAACCTCGCCTCCACCCTGTTTTATTGCCCCCTTCGCTATTCTGTGAATTCGAAACAGCAAACAGGTGTAACTCTTTTTACCCCCGTCCTCACACCAAGATTGTAGAAAGATGGACTCTCATCCACCATCACCCACTTCGCAGCCCTCATCCCCAAGGTCGGAAGCAGGTTCACACGGGTATTCAGAAGTTCCTACCGAGCCTCTGCCTGCCTCTGAGTTAAGGGTGTTCAACGAACACATGACTCGGAGGAAGCATTTCTTATCGGATTTCGAGCGGTACAATCCTGTTCAGAATATGCATGCACTGGCAAACCACGTGTTTGATCTCTCAGAAAACGTTCATCGCGTGGGAGACGAAGTTGCAGTGTCGCGCCGCATGCTGGACATGGTTGGGAGTCACCAACGAGAGGGAAATCACAACCTCCGGATTATTGGTGAAGACGTTATCGGATTGGAAAAGAGATTCGGAATTTTAGAGAAGGAAATTGGACAGTTGAGGGGAAGAGTCGAGGAGACCCATCGTGAAACCCAGCAGGGGTTTGCCGAGATCAAGGGCATGTTGATGACCCTTGTGGGTGGTAATGGCGGGTTGCGGGTTTAGGTGTGTACCTGACATGCCGATGTCATCTGGAGCGGGCGAGATGCATTATCTAACGTGGGACATAGCATTGGGACGGCGTTTTTGGCTTGGGTTTTTCGTTGCATATATACCAGGGCTATTTTATTCAGTTACCTCCTCGGACGTTTCTTGAGACGATACATCAGGCGTTTTGGAGAGGAATTCCTACTTTCACATAATATCACCATCGAAAGTCGTAAATATGTTCAGTTGTTGCTGATGTATCATTCTTTGGCTTTTGCATGGTTACGGTGTTGTGTGCAAGGGGTATCATCACCATGTGCTATTGGAGTATCTGATCTTTCTGTACCGGTTCTTACTGTTGACTGCTTTTTCGTTTTTCTCTCGTTTGTTGATTTCTTTCTCTCTCAGAGAACGTCTTATCCACGGTCTCTTTACATTCATTTGCCCGTGACCCGGGATCGTTGTTGGAAGTGGTTTTGGCGAGAAAGGGGTGGACCCAATTCTCGCTCTTCTATTTTTTGTTTTTCGTTTTTTTTTTTTACTTGGCTGGAGTTTCCGCTGAGTTGCTTTGTACCAGTATTGGGCAGTGTTAGTTATGACTTACCGCTTTTAGTTTAAGATTAGGATTTAGCTTACTTACGTGTTTGTCTGAGGGTGTGACAACGAACGAAGTGATGAAATGGGGAGGTGAGTATGGTTTGAAATAAGTGAATCCGATTCCAGCGTTTGCTTTTTGCTCTTTTTGTTGGAAAGTTCAGGAGACCTGTCGAGCAGCTCGGCAGCATATGCTAATCCATCAACAACCTTTGCTTAAAACCTTTGAGTTGTGGACGCGCCTTGAGGAGTAGCCGTGACTGTAGAATCATTTGCTGTGCAGTGAAGTGGCAGGGTGGTTGGCAAAAGGGGTTCTTGTGAAACGAGTAAGATATGAGTTTGTTAAAGGTCTCCCCCACCCCTCCATTCCCATTCCGCATTCCAAGGAGGAAACTGGAAGAATCATCTGCTAAATAGTCTGACTGCCCTCTGCGGGGGCTCGATTTGCTGTTATATGCCGTACGAGGAGAGATCTGAGCCGGAGAGCCCAATATCAAAATATTGCCTCCAGTGATTGAACAATTCCCTGAACCTGCGGGGGTGTTCAAGAGTATTGACAGGCCGGGGCCAACTAGTAGTAGCCGCAAACCCAACAATTCGGTCGAGGGCGCGCCGGTGTGCTAGGCCGGGGGGGTTCGGTTGGTCCTGCATGGTCGATCTCCCGCGTTACCCCCAGATCTATAGTAGTCTAGCTGAGTCAACATAGATCTTGGTAACGCCCCTCCCCCCCGCCCTCCACCCCCAAGTCCCATTGGTTCAACTTGGGTCACCCCCAACTCACCCCCTTCTCCCTCCCTTTCTACACCCTGACTGTTCCTACTCTTATCCCCGCACACGAACCCCCCCGGATTGAACATTTATATCCTCGAGGGTACCGTTTTCTCCCACACGTTGGAAGTGATTTATTTCACTTCCTACGAATGGATTTCTCCAAAAATAGGCTTATCGGATGCGGGGCCTTCCACTCCGTATGGGTCATTCTGTTTTCGGTCGTGAAGTTGTGCGGTTGTGGATGTTTGGAATGGTGAAGTTGGGTGTTATGTGGTGTTGGGTTGGGGACTGTGGATGCCAAGATTCTGACTAAGCGCCCACCGCCCTCCTCCTCCGGGTCCTCCATCGGGGACTGGCTTCGCAGTTCTGGTTTCCGCTGTATTGTCTTCCTCGGTCATGTTTTATAAGTTATAGATAGCTGAAATTTAACTATTCGGATGATAAGAGGATTATTCTAGCATTTTGCAGGAATCCGGTGTCAATCATCGACCCCCGCGAAAGCGGTGGCATCTGAGTTCCCCTCCCCGTTCGCCGTATAAATTGGGATCAGACTACCGTGCAATGTTATCCTTTACAAGTGCCAACACGGCAGCCTGGATGCCTTCATGGGAAGGGCGGTCTGAAATTTGGTGGGATGGTTGTGTGTGTGGGAGGATGGGTGGCTCCCCTGCACGGTCGATCTCCCGCATTCATTGCCCCCGATCTATGGTACGGTAGCTGAGTCAACAAGATCTTGGTAGCACCCCCCCTCCTTCCACCTCCTGCTCCCATGTATGGACTTGGGTCACCTCCCACCCATGCCCTTCCTTTCCCACATCCCGAATCATTTCCCGGACTTCCCACACCCCTCATTCGAGCCCCCGTTGATTGGGCTTTATACGTTCGTGGGCACCACTTTCTCCCAGACTTTCGAGAACTTGATTTTCGTTTCCTGTGAACGGATTTCGTTCGGGATGGGTTTACCAGATGTGGGATGTTTCCCTGCATGTGGGTCAACTTTGCTTTTGTCGTGGTATTGTGTTGTCGTGAAGATATGTGGTGGTGAAGTTTTGGGTAGAACGGTTATCAGCGGGGAGGGACGGTGGGTGCCAAGACGGATGACTAAGCGCTCGCCGCGCTGAAGAACGTTGGGGTGAGGTAGCGGGAGTATACAAGGCCAAGTTCGTGCTTTCTGGTGCCGGGGTATTTGCCTTGCTTCATTGCCTTTTCTGAGTCGGTGGATGTATCGGGGGATTATTGGAAATTGCAGATTCGATGTGTGAGGCTCATTCCACTGTTTTCTGGGGATGCAGTGCCAATCATCGGTTTTCGTGAAAGCGGTGGGATATCAGGTTCCCCGATTCCGCCGTGTAGGGGGGAATACCCTGCTATGATTAGTTGCAATCACCGAGCCGGGGGCGTGCGTGACGGCTTGGGAAGAGTCAATTAAGGTTTGGTGGTGTGAGTGTGGGTGTGGGTGCGTGTGTGGGTGGTGGTTCCCCTGCACGGTCGATCTCCCGCGCATTCGCTTCTCCCAATCTCTGGTACGGTAGCTGAGTCAACAAGATCTTGGTAACGCCCCGCCCCCCTTCTCCCTCCGACTCCCACGTATTGGACTCGGGTCACCTCATACTCATGTCCTTGCTTTCTTCCCACATCCTGGCCGTTTCTCCCACTTTTTGCCCTCTTGTTCGGAACCTGATTCGACATTTATACGTTTGTGGGTACTGTTTTCTCATAGACTTTGGAGAGTTTTTATTTCATTTATTGCGAATGGATTTCCGTCGGAATAGGTTTACTAGATGTGGGACATCTCACTGCGCATGGGTCAACTTTTATTTTGCCGTGATATTGTGTTGTGGAGATATGTGATGGTGAAGTTATGTGTTGAGCTATGTTGGCGGGGAGGGAGTATGATGCCAAGACGGATGACTAAGCGCTCGCCGCTATGAGGATCCGAAGTTGAGGTGCTACCGTATTACCCAGGTGTTTCTGGTTTTTCCACGTTGCCCCCCTCTGTGGTTTTTAGCGATCCGGTAGATGGCTTGAATAATTATTAGGGCTTACAGATTCGGAGGTTGTGAAGACGCTTTGACAGTTTCCGGAATGCGGTATCAATCTTCTGCCTCCGGGAGAGTGGAGCGGCGGGAGTTTCCCTTATTCCGCCATCTGAACATGAAGCAAGTCACCGTATAATAGTAATCCTATACAAATACTATCACGGCAGCGTGGCTGCCTACGACATGCGGGAAGAGCCGTTGACAATTTCATGGGGTGCACGGGTTGTGGGCTGTCCCCCCTGCACAGTCGATCTCCCGCTCGCTACCCTCCTATCATAGATCTGGCTGAGTCAACATATCCCAGATCTTGGTAGCGCCCCTCTCTCCCCCCCTTTCACCCCCTGGTCCTGTATATGGGACTTGGGTCACTTCCTACTCACACCCTGCCCCATTGCTATATCCTGGACCCTTCTAGCATTCCGGCATCAATTCGACCTCCGGATCCTACGTGTATGTCCCGCCTGCTATGGTTTCCCACTTGACTTTGGAAAGGGTTTATTACGGATGCTGCGAATGGATTTGTTCATAGATGGGGTTAATGCATGTGGCGTCGTCTGGACAGTCTGTCTCAAGTTTTCTTTTGTCGTGGGATTGCGTGGTTGTAGTGTTGTGGTATTGTGAAGTTGGTGGTTCTCGTGGTTCTGGAACTGATGATGGTTGGGTGCTAGGGTGATGACTAAGCGCCCGCAGTGACCGTCCTGCGAGGCGCCTCCATATGTGTGTTTCACCCATACAACTCTCTGACCTCGTTGTGTTATCGCCCCTCTATCGCCGATAGATGGTTCGGTAGATTCTGGGATTTCGTGGGCCTGGATGCTTGGATAGTAGGGCAACGGCCCAAGGAATTTTTGGAAGTGGGTGTGCAATGTCAATAAGTGGTCCCCGTTCAGCATATGGGATTCCACCTGCCCCCTTGTGTAATCTGGAAGCGGACTACCTCACAATAACAATCATTTGCAATAGCTAGAGAGGGGGTGTGGGTACGGTGGGGTTTGGGAAGGGCTCTTTAAGAGTGGATGGTAGGTGGGGTGGATGGCTCCTCTGCACGGTCGATCTCCCGTGGTTGCCCCAGCCAGATCTAGCTGAGTCAAGATAGATCTTGGTAGCGCCCCCCCCTCCCCAATCTACTCCTAGGTCTCATGGGGTGGACTTGGGTCACCCACTACCCATACCCTGCTTCCTTCCTACAACTTGGCTGTTCTTGATCCTGCGATAGTCACATTAGGCCTGGATTCGACATTTGGAGGTTCGGGATCCAATTATATACTAGACTTTTGAAAAGCTTTTGTTCCACCACCTACGGATGGATTTGTTTGGAAGTGGGCTTGCCGGATCCGGAATCCTCTTCCCCATATATAGCAAGAGTGTATTTGTCCTGGTATTCTGTTGCTATGGCATTATGGGGTGGTGAAGTTGTGGGTTGTGTAGTGTCGGCGGAGGCCTGCAGGTGCCAAGATAGGTGACTAAGCGCTCGCGGCTGTGGTCAAGTAAGTCCTCTTCAGAGGTGTGTTTTACCGTACAGCTCTCTGACCTTGCTGTGTTGTCTGTCGCTTTCGTACCGATAGCTGGTTCGATAGATTCTGGAATTTCATGAGCCTGGATGCTTGGGCAGTTGGGCAGCGACCTGAGGAATTTCCAGAAGTGGGTTGTAAATCATGGGCCCCTACCGGTATTCAAGATGTGAAATTCTAGGTTCCACCAATTCCCCTGTGGGATCTGGAAGCGGACTACCTCATAATAATGATCATTTACGATCGCGAGACAGGGGGTGTGGGCATGGTGGCACTTGGGGAGTGCTTTTTAAGATTGGATGGTAGGTGGGGTGGTTGGCTGCACGGTCGATCTCCCGTGGTTGCCCCGGCCTGATCTTGCTGAGTCAAGATAGATCTTGGTAACGCTCCCCCCCCCCAATTCACTCCTGGGTCTCATAGGCTGGACTTGGGTCACCCACTACCTATACCCCACTTCCTTCCTGCAACCTGGCTGTTCTTGATCCTTCGACAGTCACATTGCGGCTCGGATCTGACGTTTCGAGGTTTGGGATCCGATTATATACTAGACCTTTGAAGGCTTTTATTCTGCCACCCACGAATAGATTTGTTTGGAAATGAGCTTGCCGGATCCGGAATACCCTTCCCCATATATAGCAGGAGTGTATTTTTCCTGGTA